AAAAATGCACAGCCAGAGGTGAGAAGGGAAATGAGACTAGGCCTAACCCTCAGACTCTCCAACACTGAACAGATGGTGGAAGAGGATAAAACCGCAAATAGTAAGAACAGCAGACGTGAGGTCCGAGGAACGACTGCTTCAAGAACTGGTCAGGTATTATGTCAAAAGACACTTAGGAAGATCTCAGAAAATGGTGGATGAACAAATGAATGAATGAGACTTACTTTAACTTACTAAAACTTGCCTTAAACCATTCTGTTTTTAATGACCAATATATTCATTGAGAAGGAGCTCTGGTAGCTTAGTGGTTACGAATCGGGCTGTGAACCACAAGGTCAGCAGTTCGAAACTACCAGCTGTTCCACGGGAGAAAGATGAGGCTTTCTGCTCCTGTAAAGATTTATAGCCTCGGAAACCCTGTACAGGGTCGCTATGAGTCGGAACCGACTCCACGGCACATAACAACAACAACAATATTCATTGAGGGAACCCTTCTTATGAAAGGTAGGAATTGAACTGAGGTTTGGAGGACAGCTCAGATTTGCTGAGGAGAGGATATTCTAGTTGAATTCAATGGCATTGCCAAAGACTTGGAGCTAGAGATGAGGATGGCGTGCTCAGGAGTTTAGCTGACCCCTCATCTACTTTCAACTTCTCAACACTTACTCTCATATCTGCTCATGGCTTCCTTCAGCCTCAATAGGTGAATAAAGTCTGGATTCTTAAAAAAATTGAAGATCTGTTCTATATTGTCCTCCCTTTTTAATCAGTATTCATCTTTTGTGTTCTGGATCATAAAATTCAGTAGTGGGAGCTAGTTCTGGTCTCAAGGTGGCTCAATTACCTAGTTGGTCTTGTAGTCCAGTTTCTTCTGATTCTTGGCGTCCTTCCTTCTCTTCTAATCCAGATGAATAAAGACAAATAGACACAATCTTAGATGGCTATTTGGAAGCTTATAGGACTCCAGACACTACTCACCATACTGGGTAATAGAATATACATTTTAAGAACTATGTTTTGCCAGTTGACGGGATTGTCCCACAAGACCATGCCTGAGCCCCCACACCAAGAGAACTAATCTTGTTATGTCTAGTTAGTATCAGCATCTGTAGCCACCCCGCCCCCCTTTTTGAGTTATTATTGTTGCAAAACCATATGTGACCTAGCATTTGCCCCTTCATCCCTCTTCCCTATATACATTATCTCCCTACGTAAATGCTTGCCATCATTGACATCCGTCATGCTGTGCAAACTTTGCCCATATTTAGTGCCATCTTTCCTGTTTCTCTCTGAACAAAAAGTGATTGATACCTTCATAGTTCTTCTCCCCCACCCCCCAGTAACTACTAATGAACATTGTTGTTGTTCTTGTTGTGTGCCACAGAATTGATTCTGACTCACAGCTACCTATATAGTTTCCAAGGCAGTAAATCTTTATGGGAGCAGAAAGTCTCACTCCTGTCAGTTCCTTGGTGATCTCCACAAAGCATCTGTGCTTGTTTCTCTGTGTCTAATAGTTTTTTCTCTATCTCAAAAGTCATTAGATTTAAGACACATCTTATAACAATAGGCTCAAACATAAGAACAATTGTAAGGATGGTACAGAATCAAGCACTGTTTTGTTCTGATGTAGAGTCTCTATGGGTTGGAATAATGGCATCTAATAACAACTTACTTATATGGTCCTATTAATGTAACAAGGAAAATCCTATTCTCAAATGGGATTACATCCACAGATGTAGAGGTTAGAATTCCAATACATATTTTGGGGTCGGGGGTCACATGTCAGTCCGTAACACTGTCCTTGAGATGGCCACAGCCCAGTGTGACAAAAGGTTTTCCAGCAGTGACAATGAAAGATGTCCCAGAGGTGTGTTCCCCCAGAGCTGACAGAGTGAACCCTCCCCTGGATGCTGCAGTGAAACTTGTCCCAGAGGTGTTGTCCTCTCTCTGCAGCAGGGGAGGTGTTCCAGTCCAGGCCTGCATGGAATCCTGAAGGCTGAGAATGGAGAATTTCAGGCAGTCGAGGGGGAAAGCACCCCATCCCCCAGCCCAGACAGAGGCTTCCCCCTCAGTCTGTTCCTCGAGGGCATCCTCTTTTGTTGCTTTGTATTTATTTCCCATCTGCCTCGAAGGGTATTTGCCAAGAGTAGATGTTAATAAATGCTACATAAAGCATCTGAAACCAGGGAGCAGTCAAATATGAGGCCTGACAGCTTGAGTGAGGCCTTGTTTTGGAGGACTTGCATGCTTATGTGAGGAGTTTGGCCTTGATCCAGCCAGAGATAGAGAAGTAAGGCCAAGATGGTGGAAGACTTTTGAGGAAGACAGTTGACCTTTGCTTTGTCCTTTCCTAACAATGGATCCACCATGACCTGCTCCTGGTGGCAGCTCAGAGGCACTGAAAGTGGCAGAGGACTGAGAAGTGGCTCAGAGTGGTGTGCACTTTTTGTACTGGCATTGTTCACTCCAACTTCTTTGTTGGCTCATGAGTAAGGCAAGGACTGGACTCAAGCTTATGTCATCTGTGTACCAGTCCTTGTTCTCTGTTACATACAAAGCAAAGTGGGACAGACAAGTGCAAATGTTTAACTACAGTTTGAGGTTGTTGTTGTTAAGTGCCATCGAGTCGGTTCCGACATATAGGGTTTCCAAGCTGTGGCTGGTGAGTTTGAACTGCTGACCTTGTGGTTCAAACTGATCAGTTTGAGGTAGAAGAAGTTTTATGTGATAAGTGAAAAGTAGTTAACCTTCAAGTTAGGAAACTTGTTTTTTGGCCTTTGAGCACATACAGAAATTCTGGAGTGGAACTATGATTTTGACAGTGCTTCTAATTTGGTCAAGTCAGAATACAGAGAAGAGGCAGGGGGAAGGCAGGGCTAAGAACAGGCTCTGGATTCAGACAGCCTTGAGTTCAGATCCCCATTCCTTGTTGTGACCTAAAGCATGTTGTTGTCGTTAAGTGCCGTCAAGTTGGTTCCCACTTGTAGCGACCCTGTTTAGGGTTTCCAAGGAGCAGCTGGTGAATTTGAACCGTTGACCTTGTGGTTCAAACCAACCTTGTGGTCCAGTGCTTTTCTTACAGCGCCACACCAGGACTCCTGCTCTCTATGTGGGATGGGTTTCCTTATCTGTCAGATGATTATGAAATAGTCTATTGGGAAAACATTGTGAGGCATAAATGAGATCATAAACTGAAATGACAGCACAGTGTGACACAGAGCAAACACTCATCAAATGTTTATCTGTAAAAAATGCAGTCTTGGGCGAGGACTGGCCTGTGGAGGCTGACCTGGGAGTTCCTGCTGTGGAGGGGAAGCAGCAGAATAGATGTGGCCGAGTGTTAGGAGAGCTGAATAGGGAGGTCAGAACTTTGGGGGTGGGAGAGTCAGTCAGGTTAGGAAGAAGAGGCAGTCAGTGAAATAAACAAGCACAAGATTTAAGATGGAAGAAATTAGATAAGTGCCAATTCACTGAAACCAAGAACTCCAAAGAATGGTTACAGAGACAGTCTCATCCTCAGGGCCATCATCTGGGAAACTGGGTGGCGCTAGGTCTAGGGTAGAGCTGAGGGGTCCTTTCTCTACCCCAGTCGTGCCATGTGTGTTACCCTTATCTTCTAGGAGTAGACGTGATTAATGGGGCCCTGGAGTCAGTCCTGTCTTCTAGTAGCCGTGAGCAGTGGACACCAAGTCACGTCAGTGTGGCTCCTGCTACCCTCACCATCTTGCACCAGCAGGTAAAGAGCTAGGGTAGAAGACATGGCTGTGCCCTGCTGTGGAGGGGAGACCGGAGGCTGGGGAGGACCGGGTAGGATGGGTGTGCCTCAGTGGAACACTGAGGGTTGGGGTGTCCCATTCTAACTTGGCCCACTCCCTCCAGACGGAAGCAGTGCTGGGAGAATGTCGGGTGCGCTTCCTCTCTTTCCTGGCTGTGGGCAGAGATGTCCACACATTTGCATTCATCATGGCTGCCGGCCCAGCCTCCTTCTGCTGCCACATGTTCTGGTGTGAGCCCAACGCCGCCAGTCTCTCAGAGGCCGTGCAGGCTGCGTGCATGGTAAGTGACTCGGGTGGTGGGTGATACCCATCCCACATGGAGACAACTGGAGAGTGACCACCCCACCTGCCTCTCTGCAGCTCCGCTACCAGAAGTGTCTGGATGCCCGTTCCCAGGCCTCCACCTCCTGCCTCCCGGCACCTCCAGCTGAGTCCGTTGCCAGGCGTGTAGGGTGGACTGTCCGCAGGGGCGTTCAGTCGCTCTGGGGCTCCCTTAAGCCCAAACGACTGGGGGCCCATACCCCCTGAAGAAATCCCTAGTCCTCCTTCTACCTGCTTGCATTGGGCTCCAGGGGACTCAAGGCATGGGGCAAGGAGGGGCTCTACAGACTATTCCCAGGTCTCAGGCCCCTCCAGAGCTACCCCTTAGTAGCTGGAGTTCCCTGTCTCGGAGCTGGGGAGGGAGAAATCTAATCCCTGTGAGGAAGTGGCAACACTGGATTGAAAAGAGGAGCAAGGCCAGCCCCCAGGCTCTCCATCCCCATGAGTTTCAAGTGGACATGAGGGACTGGTCCAGGCCATACCCCATCCTTATAAGGTCCAGCAGGGGCAGAAGGAGGGGGCTGGTCCCGGCATGGGTCCCCTCCCTTTGCCCAGTGGGCACCTCCCCTGTACTGATAACACTAATAAAGTCTGTCCGTCCTGCTGAGCTGTGTGCTTTCTGAGCTTACACCACCATCACCCTGATCCCTCAGATAGGGCCTTGCTGACAGACCCACTCACCCTGCCTGCCTGGAAAGGAGAAATTAGGACAGTCCGAGAGGGCTAGGGTATAAGTCTCATACCTTTATTATAACAGCCTGGAGGGATCAGTCAGCAGCAGCAGCAGCACAGGGTTCCTGGCCGGACAGCCCAGGGCAGTGTCTGCTTAGACCATAAAAGGGCAGTAGCCCTGGGCAGCCTGCGTGCTAGGACTGGAAGAGCCGCCCAAACCCCTCTCAAATTCTGCTAAACCAGCTTCAGGAAAGGAAAAAGTCCTGTTTCCCTGGCGCACCTGGGGCCCCCATGGGCTCTTCCACCAGGATGTTCTTGCTAAACTGTACCACAGCAGCCGTCAGCATCCTGGGCTTTTCACTTCCTCCCCAGACATGAACTTTACCAACGCTGGGTCCTAGGGGGCGCTAGCAGAACAGGGGCCGTGGCCACAGGTTGTGAACATCCTGGAGGCTCTCCTCCGGCACCAGGTGGCGACACAGAGCAGGGCTGTCAGCGCGGGCAGACAGCTGGGCACACAGAATAGTGAGGCGGCAGGGCTGGCCGCAGGGCTCCGAGGGCGGGTGGCCCTTATGGTAGAGGAACCAGAAAGTCTGGAATAGTCGTGTGTCGCCCCGCATGCGGTATACCAGGTTGTGCCAGGCGGCAGGCAGCGCATTGGGTAGCCCGTAGGTTTCTCGAGCCCTATAGAGGCGCTGCCAGTGTGGCGAGGCTCCAGGCGCGTTCGCCTGCGTCAGGTTCAGAATGAAAGTTTCGTGGTCCAGGACCACGTGAGAGCTCCCGAGGTAGTCACCGTCTATTTGGTAGACGCGGTAACCTGCACAGAGGAAGAGCTGACTGGAGAAGGAAGGAGCGAAGGCACCGCCCCAGGGAGAGGCCGCATGTCTTCTTTCCCCTCTCCCTCTCCCTAACACTTGTCGGGTTTTAGCTGTGGCCACGCCTCTGCCTTACGTTCCTTCTTTCCTCCCTCCCACCAGCTCCAGGATAACCACCTCATTCTACCACTCACCAGGATTAAGGCCAATGTAGGTGGTGGCACTAGGTGCCAGGAAGGCCACAGCAAGCGGCCGGCTCAGGGTCTCTTCATCATAAAAGACCTCAAATTCATCCACATGGGTGTGTCCAAAGAACTGACCAGCCAGGGTGTTCTCATACCTGGCCAGAAGACACTCATTTTATTCAGAAGATTCTAGGTAGGAGGAGGAGATTTGGGGAGATCTTTCTCCATTTGATTCAAGTAAGTAGCTACTCCACACCCACCAGGCAGAAGCAAAGGTGAGATAGATGCTCAGGGCAAATTCTAACATTTAGACTCTTCATCTTCTTAACCCCACCCACCCCACCCTGCCCCACTCCATCTGCCTCCTACCTGGCTACAATACGGTAATAATTCCAGCTCCAGCTCTTTAGGCAGTGTCCTGGGGGAATGTGGCCAATTATATGCACCTGGAGAAAAGGAGAGGGGTGGTTGGCATGGCACCAAGGCATCCAGGCATCCTTGCCAGGGTAGTTGGTACTCATCTCTCCTACAATGCCTGACATTCCTGGCCCGAGGGAGGAGTAGTAAACAAAGGGCTTTCAAAGAGAACCCTGAGCTGAACTCCAAGAAACACAGTTCTTGGGAGCACCAGAAAACCAAGTGTCTCTGCTTACAAGTGCTCCAGCTTCAGACAGGTGCCTGCTGGTGAAGGCTCTACTTCTCATCCTCTCCACCCTCTCCGCTGCTCCCTCCTGCCCCCTTGTTAGTCCTCACTTTGTCTCCTCGGTCCTCAGCAGCCTGGAGCTCTCCCACCAACCACTCGAGTTGTCCAGCAGGATCTGTGGAGTTGATCAAGAGCCAGAAGTTCTCCCGGGAACAAAAATTCATATTGAGAGAGATGAGGCGGAGGCCAGGGTATGGGGACAGGGCATAGAACCCCCCAATCCTGAAACAAAGTGAACATCAGGGGTCAGCACTCAATTTATAACCCCAGGCCTGCATGCTCAGTCCTGTGCTAGGCATTTGGGTGGAGTTGATGTTGCCCCTACCATGAAGGAACTGACAGTCTAGCTGAAGACCATGTGACTGAAAATGGCTTGAAGGGCTAAGGGATCTAGGAATTCAGGGAGAGATCAAAGTGAGCTATAGAGTGGGACACAAAGGTCATTCAAAGGGAAGATAAGCTGACCCTTGGTCAGTTGGGGAACTGGTAATGTTAAAAAGGGCAAGGAATTTTAGAAAACACCAACATGAGCAAAGAGCCAAATGGGTACATGAAGAGGAAGGCAGCTGGAGATAAGGGTGGAGAGGGAAGGGGGGCCAGTTTAGGGAGGGCCATCAAGGAGTGCAGAGGGCTCATGCCAGAGCAGACAGAGATAATGCCCTAGGTTCCCAGCCCCCCTCAGTTTCATCCTCCTGGGTTTCCATGGGCCTCAAGTACCTGAGAGTGTGAAGCGCTTCTGTGGGCAGCCAGGGCTCCCACGCCTTGGCCATGGCCTCATAGAGCCAGTGGGATGAGTGGTTACCCTTTATGAAGGGGGGAGGGAAACTGTTGACAGGTGTACTCTCATGGTTGCCCACAGCAGGGTACACAGGTATTGGCCCCAAGAACTTCCTCACGAGGGCCGTGATGGTGGCCAGGGCCCGCAGCTGGTCCTGGCGAGACTGTTGCCACACATCATGGGCAGGGATGTCTCCTGTCCAGTATACCATGTCAAAAGGGCCTGCTGGGCCCAACCCACTCAGCAGGCTTTCCAAGGTTCGTAGGGGTAGGTCACACTTGCTGTATTCGCCCCAGTATCCAGCACCAGATCGGGAGGCTGGAGGTAAGCCAGAACCCTTGCGGCAACACAGTGGGTCCACACAGTCAGGGTCTGAGCCTTCCAGATAGTCATGATCCCAGTGTAGGTCAGTGAGGAAGAGGACACGCTTGACAGGGGCGCCTGGGGCTGGGGGGCTGGGAGGCTGTGGGGGCGGCTTGGGCACTGCTGGTAAGGAGATGTTCCAAGACGAGAAGACGTCCCAGTGCCCACAGGTGGGGCCCAGAAGCAGGCCACAGGCCTCAGATGGGCTCAGCACCGAGCGTGTCCACACCTCCACCATGTCACCCTCAAAGAGCTGGACGGCTGATTGGCACACTGCAGGTGGCGCTATCTTCAGCAGATTGCAAAACTTGATGGCTATGGAGCCCACCCGGGCCACATTGGATTCCTGCTATAGTGGGAGCAAGTAACAGCAGGTCAGACACAAGGCAGGGGAGCCAGGTCAACCCTGACCATTGCTCCCCAGAGCGCCATATCAAACTTGGCTGGCTCAGAGCACCATGGTGAAGAGAGCTCGACGCACCCGCTGCCTCCCATAGACATTGTCCTATGACAGGCAGCATCTGGTCAGGGCTTCCTCTCTGGCTCAGTGACCTGCGGTATTTTATTTTACATCATCATTTGACCAGCTGGCTCCTGATGGGACAGTCATCTCAAACCATGGTTACTCTTCCAACAACCTTCTTAGGTACTGTCCTCAAGGCCCCTAAGCATTGCGCTGAACAGCGTGACAGACTGTCCAGAGTTTGGGGACACACACAAGGGCAGGGTCTTTGACCCTGTTAGCCTGGGGAGCCCTGCAGAGCTCACCAGAGACCCAGCATTTATAGATCTCCATAAGGAGCTCTGGTAGCATAGTGATTACAAATCAGGCTGCGAACTGCAAGGTCAGCAGTTCGAAACTACCAGCTGTTCCGTGGGAGAAAAATGAGGCTTTCTGCTCCCGTAAAGATTTACAGCCTCGGAAACCCTGTTCAGGGTCGCTATGGGTTGGAACCGACTCGACGGCACATAACAACAACAATAAGGGTCATGGCAGTCCTTCCTACCTAGTACCTGCCTCAGGGTGGTTGGACTTCACGACCTTTTTGAGTATCTAGTACCAGGAGTTCTGGTGTGGCGCTGTGGGTTAATGCGCCAGACTGCAAAGCCGTTTGAACTGCAAGGTTGGCGGTTCAAGCTCACCAGCTGCTCTTCGGAAACCCTATCTAGGGTCGCTACCTACTGGATGGCACTTAACAACACAACAGTACCAGGTATGGTGCTCAGAGCTGGAGATGACAAGTGTAAAGCACAGTAGATCAGGAGATAGGCGCTGCAGGGTGCGAGTCCCAGCACCCACCTCCACCAGCTGTGTGCTCTTGGACATTTCACTTCACTTCTCTGGGACCCATTTGTAAATGGAGATCACTACTCTGGTAGCGTAGTGGCTACGAATCGGGCTGCGAACCTTAAGGTCAGCAGTTCGAAACTACCAGCTGCTCCGCGGGAGAAAGATGAGGCTTTCTACTCCCGTAAAGATTTACACCCTCGGAAACCCTGTACAGGGTCGCTATGGGTCGGACCCGACTCGATGGCACTTAACAACAACAACAACTGTGTTCTAAAGCTTTGCTGGCTTGATTTAATCTGTATGAAACAACCTAGCATATCATTTGCATTTTTTCCTTCCTTCACAAATGTCACAATTGGGTGGTGGCATTTAGCCACAAAGTCCCTACGGGGGAGCAAACTGAAGACACATAGACACCACTCTTTCCGGCTGGGGCTGCTCTGGGGCGCCCCGCGCTCCCGCATTAACCCTCACCTCTTCCCGCAACACTCCTCTACGGGCCCCAGCCCGCTCCACCGCAGCCCCTTTGGTGCTCACCTTTAATCCGAGGTCAATGACGGAGAACAAGCCTTTGCACACCGGGCAGGTGAGGTTCCACCACCTAAAGGTGTTTCGGAGCTGGGGTTCTATGCGATTGAGCCTGGCAGGATAACCTTGGGCAGGCAAAGGGTGGGCCCCCGCCGGAACCCAAAGAATCAGGGAGTTGGGCAAGGCCAGGGCCAGTGTCAGGCCCAGGGCCATCCAGAGACGTCCCAGCCTATCTGGTCCCTGCTCCCGGTTGGACCAGAGGTGGCTCTGGCCAGGAGGTACTCCGTGGTAGGACATTGTCAAGACTCTTAGGGCTAGTTGGCACTACGGCCCTGTCCGGCCTCCGCTGGCCTCCGCCCTATTGGCCCTCTGGGCCCCGGAGGCTCCGGGGACACTCTACCCTTCGCTGCACTCGGCTGATCCCTCCGTTGGGAGCCGAAGGTAGCTCCGCCCTTTCCTCTTTCTCAGCTGCCCAGCTGCTGATCGCAACCGCGGCGGTGGCGGGGAGCCCCAGAGACGCTGCGGAGGCGAAACGGGCGGGGTGCGTTGTGATCCGCCCAGGATCCCGCCCCTGGTTCCTCCCCTCCACCTCCGCCCCCGCCCTGCCTGGTCGCAGGGACTGACGGACGCTGCCGGGGTTATTGCGGGCACCGCCTGGCGGCTTGAGCACAGGAGGCCGCTTCAGCCATCAAACTAGAACTTGCTTTGGGGACGATTAAATAAATGCTGCTGGTGGGAAAACTCGTCAGCTACTCTAACTGCCAAGCCGAGCCAGCATTTAATTGAGGAATGGTGGGTGAAGGACAACAGGGCCGGCTGGCAGGAGGTTTTTTTACAGAGTATTTTCCCAGTCAGGAAACGCTTCTCTAGATTTCCCAGATGGGCACCAGCACCCTTGAGCCAACCTGACTGGGTGTCTTTGAGTAATCTTTGATTCAGATTCCTCTGGATGAAAGGGACCGGCAGCACACTTTACAGATAAGGAAACAGGTGCAGGATGGCAAAGTGACTAAGAGACAGTAAAGATTATGTAGGCAGGAATCCTGGTGGGGCACTGTGGGTTAATGCGCCAGACTGCAAAGCCAGTTTGAACCGCAAGGTCGGTGGTTCAAGCTCACCAGCTGCTCCTCGGAAATCCTATATAGGGTCGCCATGGGTCAGAACCTACGCGACGGCACTTCACAACAACAACAAAGATTATATAGGCCCAGGAACATGGATTAGAATTTGGGTTTCCTACCTCCGTGTGTCCAGAGAGTAAAAACTAACACTTTCTGGTCTCTATGGAGTCCTGGTGTGGTGCTGTGGGTAATGCACCAGCCTGCAAAGCCGGTTGTACTGCAAGGTCGGCAGTTCAAGCTCACCAGCAGCTCCTCTGAAACCCTATATAGGGTGGTTATGAGTCGGAGCCAACTCGACGGCACTTCACAATAACAACAACAGATTGGGTTCTATGCATGATAAATGGACAAGACTGAAGTTGTCAAGCAGTTTGTCTTAGGCTGGGTTCTTAAGCGAAGCAAAGCCAGGGAAGCTTGCTGTTGTTGTTGTTATGTGCCGTGGAGTCGCTTACGACTCATAGGGACTCTGTACAGGGGTTCCGAGGCTGTAAATCTTTACGGGAGCAGAAAGCCTCATCTTTCTCCTGGGAACAGCTGGTAGTTTCGAACTGCTGACCTTAAGGCTCTCAGTCCGATTTGTAACCACTACGCTACCACAGCTCCTTTCAGTGAAGCTTTTATATATATATATATATATATATATGTGTGTGTGTGTGTGTGTGTGTGTATGTATATATATAAAGAGGTTTATGGACTCCTGGTGTGGTGCTGTTGGGTAAACACTGGACTGTGCACCACAAGGTTCGTGGTTCAATCCCCATCCCTTGGAAACCCTGTACGGAGTCACTATGAACAATACTTAACAACAATCACAACAAAGAGGTTTAGATCAAGGAAATGACTCACACAGTTGCAGAGAAACTTGTCAGTTCCAAGTCTGAGGAGGCTTCTGGCTCATGCAGCTGCAGGACTGATGAATCAAGATCGGCAGATCAGACTGTAGGCAGGCAGGCAGGCAGGCAGGCAGGCAGGTCTGGCAAGGAAGAGGGCAGGCTGCTGACAACTCCCATGACTGGCAAATAATAGAGCAGACCACTGAAGTCGGAAGAACCCATATGCAAGATCCAGATCCAGCACAGCACAAGCAAACTTTGCCTGAGTATCCAACATATTGAAGTAGGCCAGCCCTGGAGGAAGCTTCCTTTCAACTGATTGGCCACTAATCCGTCACAGAGTTGATTACATTATATTAGATCCCATCATGGGGGATAGCTGCATCTCAACTGCCAAACCATTGAGAATCTTGCCCCAGTCAAGTTGACACAAAACCTTAACCATCACAGAGTTCATTTTATTTAGATCCACAATCAATGTATTGTAGGATAAGCACTGATCCTCAAGGCCAGTTAGAACTGAAATATTGGCGGTTCAAACTCACCAGCCACTCATCAAAAACCTCATACAGGGTTGCTATGAGTCGAAACTGACTCTATGGCACTTAACAACAACAATCTGTGAATATAAAAGGAGCAGTCAAGACATCAAATGGTAATGCCTGAAGACTTCCATCAATGGTGGACTAGGAATACACACAACAGGGACCCTTTACAACAAAGATCTGAAAGACCAAATGAAACAGACACAGATGAAGATCCTGGAACCCTAAACTTCAGAGGAAAGGCTTGAAAAGTGGATTGAGTGCTTGTTGGGCAAAGAAGCTGAGCTGGGACAGCAAGAGAGGGAGACTGACTAGTGAAGGCCAGCCAGACACAGAATGAACATCTTGTGAGCAGCTCAGGCTACCGAAGGAAGCTTGACAGGGCAGATTCACACACCAGACAGGAAAGCTGCAATTCCTTCTTTTTCCCCACTTGCCTGGTGACCAGAGATGTGGCCAGCTCCCACCCTCATCCACCTCCAGCTCAGACCTTGCTCTCCAGTTCAGAGCCATGTGATTGGGAGCCATGTCAGTGTGAGGCGAGGCTGGTTGCACTACTTTTGTGCCTGGATTCAGGTGGGATTGACTCTAGACCCCAGCATTTACCAGAACCTGCAGAGTTACCAGACCAGCATTTAACCAGTTACCCTGCCTAAGCTGTCCTGTGGTCCTAAGAAATACTGAAACCAGCTCCAGCAAGGGCCTCCACACACTACATCCAGGCTGGGTAGCCTGACCTAGATAACACTGAGGCCAATAGGAACCCTATCTAAGGCTAGGAACTCTGCTGTCATATCCCTTTCACACCCTCGTGAGATCCTTTCACCTCGTGAGATCCTTGGCTTGCAGGAGCCCCCAGAGTTTTCTCTTCTCTTGGTTCAATAGCTGCACTGTTTTTGTTTTGTTTTGTGGTTTGGCTTTTTTCCTTTTAGTGTTTTATTATATATATATTTTTTAATTAAATGTTTTTATTTTGCATTGAGTGAAAGTTTACAGGGCACATCATCAGCTTCACATTCAACCATTCATATAGCTTGTTTCATTACATTGATTATTATCCCCTCCATATATCATCAGTTTACAGTGTTTCTCTCTATCCTCTTTAGCTTTTTTTTTTTTTTTTGGGGGGGGGGTGGTGCCGTGCCTTTTTGGAATTTACAGTCTCGGCTTTTAGGGAAGGTTTTTACAATTGTCTGTGGATATCCAGGGCTCATGTATGAGATTACTAACAAGCATTACTGAATAATCAGATGAGGGACAGTTTGCTATGTCTACTAGGTGGCTAGAGTCTGATCCTCAGAGCCTATGGTTTGGACGGTCAACAACGCTTGGGCCTACAGGGGCTTGGCCTCCTGACCAGGTCTGCACTGTCTGCATCTGAAACCTCCTTATTTATTGATTGTTTAAGGGACGCTGCCTGTCTTAGGTGGTCAGTGCGAATTCCTCAGTCTTACCAGTCATTGAGACTCATTGCAGCATGGCAATGGCTCTGTCTTAGTAGCCGAGGTTCCACGTGATCCTTACCCGTCTCTGGCCACACGTCCAGCATAAACAGCCGCCATCCGAGGAAGGCAGGGAGGGAGGAGATCAGCTGGGGACCCCATGCGCCCAATGTTGCCGGCCCACCACCTGCTCTAAGGTGACCAAGTGTTTTATTGTTTTGTTTATGCTTTCTCCTCCTCCTTCCTCTTTTTCCATTCCCTTGAATTTTACCCTTTCTGTCTCTCCTTTTGGTCTTCCTTCTTTTCTTCTGTTTCTCATTTGCCCTCTTCTCCCTCTCTTTCTTTTGATCTGCCTTTACCAAACCTTGCTTGCTGAAAGTTAAAAGGACTTAAAATATTTACTGATGAAGATCAAAGAACATAGTCTTCAGTATGGATTGCATCTCAATGGAAAAAAAAACAAAATCCTCACCACTAGACCAATAAACAACATTCTTACCAACGGACAAAAGATTGAAGTTGTCAAGGACTTCATTCTTCTCGGATCTACTATCAACACTCATGGAAGCGGCAGTCAAGAAATCAAACGACATATTTTGCATTAGGCAAATCTGCTGCACAAGACCTTTTTAAAGTGTTGAAGAGCAAAGACATCAGCTTGAGGACTAAGGTGCACCTGACCCAAGCCATGGTACTTTCAATAACCTCATATGCATGTGAAAGCTGGACAGTGAATAAGAAAGACCGTAGAATAATTGATGCTTTTGAGTTACAGTGTTGGAGGAGAATATTGAAAGTGCCATGGGCCGCCCAAAGAACCACCAGATCTGTGTTGGAAGAAGTGCAGCCAGAATGCTCCTTGGAAGCTAGGATGGCCAAACTTGGTCTCTTATACTTTGGACATATTGTCAGGAGGGACTAGTCGCTGGAGAAGGATATCATGTTTGATAAGGTGGAGGGTCAGAGAAAAAGAGGAAGACCTCCAAGGGGATGGATTGGCCAAGTGGCAGCATCAATGGGCTTAAGTATGACAAAAATTGTGAGGTTGGTCCAGGATGGGGCAGTATTTCGTTCTGTTGTGCATAGGGTCACCATGGGTTGGAACCAACTCCATGACACCTAACAACAGCTCTCTCTTTTTATCTTTCCTCTCACTGGTTTTTCTAAGTGTTTTAAAATTTCTTCCTTTTACTTCCTTCCTTATTTTTCTCTTCTATAGCTCCATTTCCTATCCCCCTTTTTATTTTTATTTATTCTTAAGTGATTCAAAATTTCATCTTTTTATCTTCTATAGCTCTGTTTCCCTATCCCTCTTAAGTCTTTATACTTATTATATACTTTTTTATTCTTCTAGTT